GGACGTGAAAACTCAATTTCCCTGTACAACAAACCGTACGGTAGTATTCAAGAGAGCTGTTTCCAGAAGCAACGCAACATCAAACATGGAAAAGCCCGCAGCCAGCCGCCCTCAAAACGCTCATAAAAGGGGCAGTCGCTGATTGGCTGAGGTCTGCCGGGTCCACTTGGGAGCGCTCTGATTGGCCGAAATTGCCGGCTCTGCGTGCTATTGTACAACACGTCGTTCATAAAAAAAAAAGTATTGCGAACAGAAAAAATGGGAGGCGGATCGTGAGTCGAAACATCGCTACCCTGTGTCATTGTTAAACCGAGGGATCGCTGCATTGGCGACTTGCTTGTCAGTTTTGATGTGGTTTCCTTATTCACCAAAGTTCCTGTACCTGACACCATCGCAATAATTGAAGACTTGGTTCATCAAGAACTGAACACTGAGGTACCACCCCTGGTGAGACACTGCTTAACCAATACATACTTCACCTGGAATGGAACTTTCTACAAACAAACTGAGGGCACGCCAATGGGCTCCCCCCATCTCCGGTTGTAGCCAACGTTTTCATGGAGAAATTTGAGACTGCCGCCATCCAGACTGCCACTCTACGCCCAACCTTATGGAAGAGGTACGTGGATGACACTTTTGTCATCTGGCCACATGGCCGGCATGCTCTAGACCAATTCCTCAACCACATCAATTCCATACACCCATCCATCAGATTTACCATGGAAGTCGAAAAAGGTGACAAGCTACCTTTTTTGGATGTCCTAATATAAAAGGGTCATGATGGCTCAATGAGCCACTCTGTCTACAGGAAAGCTACCCATACGGATGCTTACCTAAAACCGGATTCCCACCACCATCCATCCCAGAAGAATTCCCTCATCAAGACTCTACACCATAGAGCCCAATGCATCTCCGACCAGAACACATTGCCAGTGAACTCAAGCACGTACACCAAGCTCTTAAGGCTAATGGTTACTCCGACTATACAATCCGCAAAGCCATCACTCCAACCATGAAGAAGGACCCTCTTGAGGAGCCATTCAAAACCATCACCTTACCCTACATTGCGGGGATCACAAAAAATATCTCCAAAATCTTGAATAAACACAAGATCCAGGTCCGATTCAACACAGTACATAAAATCAGTGATCTGGTTCCGTCTGTAAAAGATGTGATTCCGGACATACATTACCCTGGCGTCTACAAACTAAGTTTCCTCTATGGTAGTAGTTACATTGGAGAAACCAAACTACATGTCTCGGACCGCATCCGTGAACACAAAGCAAACCTAAAACACGGTAGGACCAACACCTCGGCCGTGGCAGACCACTGTTATAATTCAGTGGGCTCACATGACATTGACTTCTCCAAGACAGAGGTTCTCTGCAAGCCATCTGGCTACCATGAGAGATTCGTTCATGAGGCTATCCACATATACAAACACAGAGACAATTTCAACCGAGAAGATGGATTCTGGCTTAGCAATCATTGTAAGGATTTGATAAACCATTTCGGGTCTTAATTGATTGTGTTCACGCTTACGGTGACTTTCAGACCGCTTTCCATTCTCTTCCTCTCCCCCCTCCTCTTTTCCGAACATAGATGGACTCGTCCATCTGAACAACTGCCAAGTCGCTGTCCGTGGTGCTAACGTGAAGAAAAAAACGCCACTTTTTTCAAATTTTCTTGCTGTAGTTTTCACACCTGATGATGATTGCTTGTGTTGCAATCGAAACGTCATGAGAATTTGATTGTTTTATATTGTATTATTTTATTGTTTCCCTTCTACGTGACTTTACCGAAAGAATCAAGAATATGAATCTCAAAGCTGTCGTAGGGGAAGGGGGCCTCACCATCATCCTCGACTTCCGTTTTCACCACGATCCTCAGGATCTCGGGGATCAGGCTCCCCTCGTCCTCCTGCTTCACGACTGCGCCTGCAAAAGCGCGCATTGACACAGACATTGAACAGACATTGGCACAGACACATCGAAACACAGACGGCCTCGACTCGTCACTGCGAGACGACGGGTCGTAGTGTGGGGGTCAGAGACGGCGAGTACGGGAAGACTTTGCCCATGGCGGCTTTATCGATCGCGTGTTTTGGCTCTACACGGTTCACCTGATGAGCTCTGTTATCTCGAACACAGGAGGTGACGTTTTGGCTGTACACTGTTCACCTGATGAGCTCTGTTATCTGGAACACAGGAGATGACGTTGTGGCCCTACACGGATGACCTGATGAGCTCCGTTATCTGGAACATGACGGTACAACGCAAACGTTCGTCACGCATTCCCCACACGCATCTAGCCGTCCCAGTCGCCGAGGGCGTCCGTCACACCGACGTCAGGATGGCGAATCGTCAACGTTCAAGTGGCGGGGTCGGGGCCGAGCATTGGGAAGAGCTGCTGCGATCCCAATCCGGGTCTTAATGACGGCCTTCAATCAAAATTCCCGTGGTGCGGAACCTTTTCACGTGGAGCCTGAGACTCTATCCTGGCCTCGAGAAACGATTAAATTTTAGCTAGTGCAAGGCCCCACTGAGTTGTGCAGCGCTTTTTCAGAAGCGACCTGAACATCACCAAATGACACCTCAACCAAGTAGCTCATCATGTGGAGATTCAGAGGAGCCTAACACAGCGGTCCCCAACCTCTTTGGCACAAGGGACCGGTTTCGTGGACGACAATTTTTTCACGGACCAGAGGGGGGTCATCATTGGGTCTTTTCCCCTTTTCAAAGAAGCTCTCCGGCGACGTTTGTTTTTTACTCATTTGGCCAGGGGTTAGCTTGTAGGCTTACCAAAACCTAATTCTAGATTTGAAGTTTTCGTGGCTGCAAGAATTCATACTCTGTTTTTTTTTTCGGTAAAGTCACAACGTTTCGGAGGCAACACAAGCTGAGACAAGTGCGCAGTGCGGGAAAGAGGCGCGGACGGAAGTGGTCAATAAAATAATGGGCGGGCCACGCGCGGATTCACCGTTCTCGCCTCCTGCTGTGTGGCCCGATTCCTAATAGGCCACGGACCGGTACCGGCCCATGGCCCAGGGGTTGGGGACCCCTGGGCTAACAGTTCATAGCGGCATTGTCCCTGTGCTGTCCGACTTTTGGCGTTGTCCTCTGGTCTAAGCCGAAATGGCCTCTTGTTGCAGCAGCCCATTTTGCCCACTTCAGCAATTGTTTCTTGCTGTGGTTGTCCCACCTGATGACGGATGCTTGTGTTGCGCCCGAAACGTCGTGATTTAAATTTATTTTATTTTCTACCTATGTGACTTTACCGAAAGAACCAAAGAGTATGGATCCCTGCAGTCACGAAAACTTCAATTCTAGATTGGCCTAAGAGTGTTTGAGACGAGGCTCTGAAGAAAGCTGTCTCTGGTGTGGGCCAATCAGTTTCAAAGACAATGCATCATCATCTACTACCAGAGCGTGGTGTTTGTTTGCATGTTCATCACAAGGACTGTGTGTGGTTAATGCAGTAACTTGATTCCTCGCTAAAGGTTTCTGTTTGGTGTTTTAACATCTTAACACCTCCTGTTTTATTGCTGCCAGAGAGGGTAAAATATGTTCTGTTACAGCCAAATACTCTCAACTCGTGACGTTGATTCTAAACGTGGAGGCAAAGGGAAAACCGGAGGATCCGGAGAAGAAATTCCACGCGACCACGGGAAGAGAATATGCAAACTCCAAATATATAGCAGCGGGCATCGTCAGGGTCGGGGTCAAACCCACGACCTCCTGCACACCAGGCAAGGTAGTCAACATAACATCTCACCACAATGAGAGAGACGCAGACTCCAAATATACAGCAGCGGGCATCGTCAGGGTCGGGGTCAAACCCACGAACTCCTACACACCAGTCGAGGTAGTCAACATCTAGCCACCGTGATGATGATGAGAGACACACAGACTCCAAATATACAGCAACAGGCATCGTCAGGTTAGGGATAGAACTCACGACGTCCTGCGTACCAGGCGAGGTAGTCAACATCTCCTAGCCACGGGCAATGCAATCTCACCAGCAGCGTCGGCGTCTTCGTGTTTGACCTTCGCGCCCGGCCCCATCCCGAGGCTCGGGTGATCTTCGTCGTTTTCTCGCTTGATGGCGAACGTCGACCTGGCGTGCGAGGCCATCTGAGAGGGAAAACCGATCGAGACTCAGACTCCCCCCCCCTTTTCACTTAAGATGTTGACACGCACACACACACGCACACGCACGCGAGTAGCAAACACCCACAAAGACTACAGGGGATAGTGTAAAGTGTAGTGTATAGTAGTGTATAGTGTAGTGTATAGTAGTGTATTGTGTAGTGTATAATAGTGTAGTGTAGTAGTAGTGTATAGTAGAGTATATAGTGTAGTGTATAGTAGTGTTTTGTGTAGTGTATAGTAGTGAATAGTGTAGTGTAAAGTAGTGTAGTGTATAGTGTGGTGTATAGTAGTGTATAGTGGTGTATGGTTTAGTGTATAGTAGTGTATAGTGTAGTGTATAGTGTAGTGTCCGCTACGCTACACCAGGGTCCTCATTTGAGGCCGAGTCAACCTAGGGGAGGCCCAGGGACCGGTTCAGAAAATCGTAAACGCAGAGACACCCACGACTCGCTCACCACGCGAGCTCTCCGCCTCTCTCCTCTCCGCCTTTGTCTCTCTGTGTCTCTGTCTCTCTCTGTCTGTGTATCTCTGTCTGTGTGTCTCTGTCTCTCTGTGTCTCTGTGTGTGTCTCTGTCTCTCTCAGTCTCTGTGTCTGTCTCTCTGTGTCTCTGTCTCTCTCTCTCTGTCTGTCTCTGTGTCTCTGTCTCTCTGTGTCTCTGTCTCTGTGTCTCTATCGAAATCGCCTCCAGTGCTGTTGCTGCTGGCGGCAAAAAAAGTTGTTTAAAAGTCAAAAGTCTTTGTCTCTGTGTCTATAGCTGCGGCTCTTCCAACCCTTCCACCCTCCTCCCTGCCTCACAGCAAACGCCAAGATGCAGCGCAAGACGCAAAGTCCCACAGGGGAGAAAATTTTGCAGCGAGAGTCTGGGGGTGCAGTGTAGTGTCTAGTGTAGTGTATCGTGTAGTGTATAGTGTAGTATATAGTAGTGTAGTGTGTAGTGTATATGTAGTGCTGAACTTCACGCGACAGCTTCTTACTTTTCCTTCGTTAATTTATTTCACCAACATCATTTAACATTGCCCCACACGCTCTCCGCTCGCTCGCCGCGTTCCGCTGGCCTCGCTCGCTCCGCGTCTCCGTCGACTCTCCTCTCCGCTTCCCCCGTCACAGTTCAGCCGCTCTCCCGCGACTCTCCCGCGGCTCTCCCGCCTCTGCAGCCACCCTCTATCGGCTTCTCCGTCACACTCCAGCCGCTTTCTGCTGGCTTCGCCGTCACACTCCAGCCGCTTTCTGCTGGCTTCGCCGTCACACTCCAGCCGCTTTCTGCTGGCTTTGCCGTCACACTCCACGTGCTTTCTGCTGGCTTCGCCGTCACACTCCAGCCGCTTTCTGCTGGGTTTCTCGTCACACTCTATAGTATAGTATAATGTAGTATGTTGTGTATAGTCATGTATAGTATAGTGTAGCATATAGTAGTGTATAGTGTAGCGTATAGTAGTGTATATTAGTGTATAGTGTAGTGTAGTATGTAGTGTATAGTGTAGTGTATAGTAGTGTATATTAGTGTATAGTGTAGTGTATAGTGTAGTGTAGTATGTAGTGTATAGTGTAGTATTATGGACGCTGAACTTCTTTCACCACCGTACATAGCCGACCGTGCTCATCGGAGGTGCACGGGTTTACTCCATGACCTGTGCTGATATCTGGACACCAACCGCACCCTTCATAGCAAGCGACTATTCAGGTGATAACCACTTAACAACGTGCTCGACAGACACGATACTACACTATACACTACACTATACACTACTATTCACTACACTATACACTACTATACACTACTATACATTACACTATACACTACTATACATTACACTATACAAATACACTACTACATACTACACTATACGCTACACTATACACTACTACACACTACACGACTATACACTACTATACACTATACTATACACTATTACACACTACACAAATACACTACTACACACTACACTATGCACTACTATATACTACACTACACACTACACTATACACTACACTATACACTGCATACTACTATACACTACACTATACACTACTATACACTACATTACACACTACTACACACGCCACTATACACTACACTATACACTACACTGCACCCCCAGACTCTCGCTGCAACATTTTCTCCCCCGCCGTACTTTGAGTCTTGCGCTGCATCTTGGCGTTTGCTGTGAGGCAGGGAGGAGGGGGGAAGGGTTGGAAGAGCCGCAGAGAGACACAGAGACAGATAGAGACACAGATTTGTGATTTTATAATGAAAACCTACAACGCAGTGCAACTTACACAGACGCTACATGTTAGACTGTTTAACACGCAACACACAGAGACACAGAGACAGATAGAGACACAGACAGACAGATAGAGACACAGAGAGACAGAGAAAGACAGAGACACAGACAGAGACAGAGAGGCACAGAGAGACGGAGACAGAGAGAGACAGAGACGAGACACAGAAACAGACACAGAGAGAGACAAAGGCGGAGAGGAGAGAGGCGGAGAGCTCGCGTGGTAGGCGAGTCGTGGGTGTCTCTGCGTTGACGATTTTCTGAACCGGTCCCTGGGCCTCAAATGAGGTGTAGCGTAGCGGACACTACACTATACACTACACGATACATTACTATATACTCCACTATACACTACATTATACACAACTATACACTACACTATACACTACTATACACTAATATACTACATACTATACTATACACTACACTATACACTAATACAATACACTACACACTACACTATGCACTACGCTATACACTACACTATACACTACACTATACCCTGTAGTCTTCATGGGTGTTTGCCTCTCGCGTGCGTGTGTGCGTGTCAACATCTTAAGTGAAAGGTGGGGGGGTCTGAGTCTCGATCGGTTTTCCCTCAGATGGCTTCGCACGCCAGGTCGACGTTCGCCATCAAGCGAGAAAACGACGAAGATCACCCGAGCCTCGGGATGGGGCTGGGCGCGAAGGTCAAACACGAAGACGCCGACGCTGCTGGTGAGATTGCATTGCCCGTGCTAGGAGATGTTGACTACCTCGCCTGGTGTGCAGGAGGTCGTGGGTTCGATCCCGACCCTGACCATGCTCGCTGCTGTAGATTTGGAGTCTGCGTCTCTCTCATCATCACGGTGGCGAGGAGATGGTGACTGCCTCGCTTGGTCTACAGGAGGTCGTGGGTTCTATCCCAACCCTGACGACGCCTGCTGCTGTATATTTGGAGTCTGCGTGTTCTCTTCCTGTGGTCGCGTGGAGAGAGTGGAGAGTTTCTCATACCTGGGCAGTGTGCTCATAACCGGCTCCGGTTTGGCAGTGGAGGTCTCACTCCGAATCAGTCGAGCGGCAATATCTTTTCATCGGTTGCGTAACGCTGTGTGGAAGCTGCCTGGTCTGTCGCTCCACACGAAGCTTCAGGTCTTCTCGGCTACAGTCATTCCCTCCATTCTTTACGCTTGCAAAACGTGGACCCCCCAAATGGAGCATCTTCGCCGGTTAGAAACATTTAGGCTGGCCTGCCTACGATCCATCCTGGGTTTAACCAGGCTGGATTGTGTGAGGAACTCACAGATCCTCGAAAGATCTGGTCAAAGTCTCATCGGTGAGCTCCTTCAGCAGGCAAGTCTGCGTTGGCTGGGTCATGTAGCCCGCATGCCCAGCCACCGCATGCCTAAACAGCTTTTGTTCGGCCGGATCAAGGGGGCTAAACGGGCGCAGTACGGGCTAGAGAAGAGATGGAGTGATGTGTTACAGGAGGACGTGGAGCTGAGTGGACTTGACGATGACCGGTACCAGCGGTGTCAAGATCGGCCTTTGTGGAGGAGGCTCGTGAAGGACGCTACTGGGCAGTTGGAGGCAGTCGCCCTCCAACAACAATGGAGGGCGGAGGAGCGACGCTCACAACAACAAGCGGAGCACCGGGTGGCTAAAGCACAGCAAGTTGGCACAGTAGGGGGCACAGGTGGTGCATCAGCCAGTCATCTCAGTCAGTCGACCCGTGGCACCTGGGTCTGCCCCGTGACCTCCTGCCAGCGGGCATTCGACACTTAAAGTGACCTCAAGGTGCACATGGCCTGGCACATGCGTCGTTGTGATGTCACCGCCACTTAGTGGCGAATGGCGGTTGTTGTTGCTGCCCATGCGAAAGGTGGTCGGGCGTCGTGCTGGCCACCAGGGGGGGGGGCTTAGCCCCCCTTGAAATTTTGGGAAAGTCGGTAATCGGATATCCGGCTGCTGCAAAATGCTGGCTGCCACCTTGTGCTGCCCTGCAGGCTGCTTGAGCGGCAGCTTTTCGAACTAATCAAACTTATTAGCCACATCAGCGGCTCCGACCTATTAATAAACTCCGTACATCCGCCACAGCCTTCTGGTACAATCGGGATTCGGATTCACTCTGTGAGCAGCAGCGGGCTGACAGGCTGAAAGGCTGACAGCACAATGCGACCAACAAAAACTCTGTTTGACTATTTTTCACCTTCAGTGCCTGAGCCTCAACATGTGCCAGAGCCAGATCCAGAAATTGGTTCGGAAAGCGATAAAGAAAGTGATCAGCCAGGAAGTGAGCTGGAGGATTTGGAATTGCAGCAAGATTCTGAAGAAGAAAAGGCAGAGGAGTCTGCGCCTGTGTCAACGGGTCCGTCGTCACATGATAGTGGAAAATCCCCTGCTCGAAAAAAGAGTCGGTTGTCTTAAGATGACCGCGGTACTATGGTGACTATTGAACGAGATCCTAGCAAACGCACACCAATTTCAGATTACGAACCGGATGAACGTGATAGCGCGCGACATGCATACCTGCAATCCGGTCCTCATCAACCTGACTTGAAGTCATATCCCAGGACCAAGTACAGCCAGAATGCTCAGCCTCGTTCATTCTCTAAGAGCTGGTTCAAGAATGAGCACTGCGAACAATGATTGGAGTATTCTCCAGTGACTGACAAGGCGTACTGCTTATATTGCTACCTATTCGCCAAGCCCAATCCTGACGCTGGCGCCAATGCTTTCATTCTTGACGGGTACAACAACTAGAATTAGTTTTTGGAGAAGTCGAAGGGAATAGCGAAGCATATTGGTGCAGTGAACAAGCATATCGGTGCAGTGAACAGCATAGCCAGAGTAGTGTATCTAGGCTGTGTACCTAGGCTGTAACAGAGTATCAGGACTGTTGGAGTGTTGTATTGTAATAAAGAAGTTACCTCAACAAGTGTCTCCGGAACCCATTACATCTGTGCCAATGTCTGTGCCAACGTGTGTGCCCATGCGAAAGGGCGTCGTGCTGGCCACCCACCCCCTCATGTACGGTTCCGGCTTTCCAATGTGTGTGCCAATTTGCAGGCGCAGTCGTGAAGCAGGAGGACGAGGGGAGCCTGAGCCCCGAGATCCTGAGGATTGTGGTGAAAACGGAATTCGAGGATGACGGTGAGGCCCCCTTTCCCGACGACAGCTTTGAGATTGTTAAGAACCAAACTATGGCAGGATAACAATGCAGAGGTCCCTCGGTTTAATGATGCCACAGGGTAGCAATGTTTCGACTCGCGATCCGCCTTTCAAGGGGGTTCCCATTGTTTCTGTTTGCGATACTCTTTTTTTATAAACGACGTGTTGTACGATACCACGCGGAGCCGCCAATTTCGGCCAATCGGAGCGCTCCCAAGTGGACCCAGCAGACCTCAGCCAATCCACGACCGCCCCTTTTACGAGCGTTTTGAGGGCGGCTGGCTGCGGGCTTTTCGATGTTTGATGTTGCGTTGCTTCTGGAAACGGCTCTCTTGAATACTTAAGCCTTCTCGGCCTATTCTTGTACTGGGAAATTGAGTTTTCAGTTCCATACGGCGTACAGCCGTTTCAATACGGACAACATTATTTTTGCTAATCCCCCTAATCTCTCTGCCTAATCTCTTCCATCAACATAGTGCTAATCTCCCATTAACACTGCTGTTGTGCGCATATGCGGGGACGATACTCTTATGCGCGACGGAAGCTCATTTCATGCTAATCTCTCTCCCTAATCTCTCTCTCCCTAATCTCCCCCATTAATACAACTGACGTACTTGCGTGCGGGGATGAAATTCCTTTCCAGCTCAGACCCCGCCTGCTTGCCCTTCGCCACATATAGAACTTCTTCGTTGTAACGGCTCTCTCGCTGTGTTCTTCCTGGTTCAGCAGTTCTACTGCTGGATTATTTTTTTCCACATGAGGACAACCGCTTGTGTTGCGATCGAAACGTCGTGATATGTAATTTTTTTAAAATTTAATTGTAATTTTATACCTACGTGACTTTACTGAAAGAACCAAAGAGTATGGATTCCTGCAGTCACGAAAGCTTCAAAATAACATTATTTTGTCTATTTGTTTGTATTTTCTCGCTTGTGATGGGACTTTGTAGGATGAACTTTGGGATTTATAAGGGGCACGGGGTGACCAATAAGGTCTGAATTGGTCTGTAATGAGGTCGGGCACTGATAAGTGATTGACGTGTATGGTTATGCTCGTCATGCACCTTTTTTATGCCCTATGTATGCATTTTTTATCCATGTTTCTACTAATATTAATGCTTTAACATGTTTTTACAACGTTTTTTTGTTAAAATTGTGTGTTGACTTTAAAGCTTTCGTGACTGCAGGAATTCATATTCTTTGGGTCTTATTATTATTTTTCTATCTACGTGGCTTTACCGAAAAACCCAAAGAATATAAAATTGTGTGTTTAAGCATACAAACGATGTTTTTAGGGTGAAAAAGTTGAACTTATCATATAAGCCTTTAACGTGCATTTTGCTATGTTCGATTCACGATCATTTTGATTAACGATGGTTTTTCGTTAACCGAGAGACCACTCTCACCAATTAATATGCGGAAGGGGAAACATCCCCAGCTGGCAGCTTGAGTGCACGATCTTCAGGTGCGTTTCACCCCCCACTCGTCCAAAGGCCAGTGGCGCTTTTTCTGACGTTGCAGCCACAGACGCAATCGAGAGTCCGGAGGAGACGGAGGAATCTTACGGATGTCTCTTCACCGCAGACCAAAACTTCATCGAGGTGGAGTTGTCCGAGGAGGATGTCGGTGAGTGTGAGGTTTCACTATATTCGGAGTTTCGTGGGTGTCTCTCTCCCCGAGGTCGCGTGGAATTTTCTTCGGCTCCTCCGTTTTTTCCCTCCACGAGACCCATAGAGTCATCACACAGAGACCCATAGACTCATTACATAGAGACCCATGGACTCAGCACACAGAGACCCATAGAGTCATCACACAGAGACCCATAACCCCATCACATAGATACCCATAGAGTCATCACACAGAGACCCATAACCCCATCACATAGAGACCCATAGACGTTTAGAGTATTTCGCTGCTGCTATAAATGTCCACGTGATGATGACATCAGCCCCTTTGTTGAGCTGTCATTTGTGATGGGCTGGTCGCTTCTGAGAAAGATCTACTACATAGCCCAGTGGGGGGCTACACCTGTTAGCATAAAAAGTTTAGTTTTAGATTGATAACGTGACAGATAAAATACGTCTTTTTGTTTGTATCACCTGTCGTATATCCCAGACGCACCACTAGCTGAAGCGATGTCCACTGCGGGACTCGTACGCTTGGCATAAACCGGCGTCGTTTGAGAGAAAACGGCCATCGTTTTGTTTTTGGCGGAGTAAAAACCCGAGTTCGATTCCCGCTCACGGCCACCAATACCGGTGACGGCGATTATCTGAACCGGCCCCGGGCCTCCCGTACGTCAAAGAAAAGAGAAGCTGAGGAGCTAAAGCCTTAACGGCGCTGCCGTTTCCTGAACTCCGTGCCTCGTCTTTCTTCGTGTTGTTTAACATCAAACTCTGCATTTTGCCTTTGGTGAAAATGTGCGGCAGACAATGCGGCAGGAACGGAACTACTGTGCGAGGAGTGCGAGGCGGGCAGACGACGCTTGTGGACGAGGGCGGACGACGCCGGACGAGCGGCCGCCACGCCGGGAGCCTCCTGCGCGCGGTGTGGCAAGCCGCTGGAAGCCACGGCACCGTCGTGCGCGGCGGTCGCCGGCGACCGGCGGAGGCACGCGTGCGCCGATTGCGGGAGGGAGTTTGCGCAGCGCTCCCACTTAGCGGAGCACGCGAGGACACACACGGGCGAGAAGCCGCACATGTGCACGGAGTGCGGGAAGGGCTTCGCGCAGCGCTCCTCCCTGGAGGCGCACGCGAGGACGCACACGGGCGAGTGGCCGCACGTGTGCACCGAGTGCGGCCAGGGCTTCGCGCAGCGCTCGGATCTGGAGAAGCACCGGAGGATGCACAGCGGCGAGAAGCCGTACGTGTGCAAGCAGTGCGGCAGGGGCTTCGGGCAGAGTTCCACGCTGACGGCGCACGTGAGAACGCACACGGGCGAGAAGCCGCACGTTTGCAAGGAGTGTGGCAAGGGGTTCTCGCAGAGTTCCTCCCTGGAGGCGCACTCCAGGACGCACACTGGCGAGAGGCCGTACGCGTGCGAGCAGTGCGGCAGGGCCTTCGCCCTCCGCGCCACCCTGAACGCGCACGCGAGGATGCACACTGGCGAGTGGCCGCACTCGTGCAAAGAGTGCGGCCGGGGCTTTGCGCAGCGCTCGGATCTGGAGAAGCACCGGAGGACACACAGCGGCGAGAAGCCGTACGTGTGCAAAGAGTGCGGGAAGGCTTTCTCGCAGAGTTCAACGCTGACGGCGCACGTGAGGACGCACACGGGCGAGAAGCCGCACGTTTGCAAGGAGTGCGGCGAGGGGTTTGCGCAGAGCGGTCAGCTGAAGAGGCACTCAAAGACGCACGCGCTCAAGTGAAAACCTCGCGTGTCCCGAATGGGTTTTTTTTTATGCCTCCCATTTGAAAACCAGTGGTTTTGTCGCTTAACGTGTATACAGTGTGCTTCAAAAAATGTTTTAACACTTATATGGGATTATCATTTTGAATGTAAAGAGAACGGATAATAAACCGTAACATGATAACAAATGTAATGTTAATAGCTTTAAAAAAGCCAGTCTCCCACTTGTTCGCCGTCATTGTCAACTCACGCCTGTAATCTTCTCCAGATGGTCTCCAGAGCCCGGAGGCACATTTCTCGTGGTATTGTTGCAAATTCTCAGAAGTGTCATCACTTTTTTTGAAGCACCTTGTATATATTTATTTTGTTTCACCGCAAATTCTTATACTGTACAGTGTAACATCTTAGTAGTAGTAGTAGGCGTTCGTGACCAATATTATCCATGTTATAGGGTTTTTTTGGTTTAGATGCCAATTAGTTTGTCACGTAAACAAAACTTGCCAATTCGTGACTAGTACAGCACTAACCGGTTGTGTGTCGTAGAGTAAACCCGCTACGACGTTTAGAATTCGAGTACCGTGACATCCAGGCTCGTCAGTCGACGGCCAGAGTTGTGGAGAAATCCTCCTGTTTCGGTTTTAAGTAAACGATACATTTTCAGAATGTAACGAATCACCTCCACGAGTGGATAGATAATCTGGAGAGCAGGCTGACTGTGGTCACACACACCTTTTGCTCGTGCTCAGTGATAACACTTTCCTTGCACCCACCCAGCAGAAGACTCGGCCCACTGCACTCCTGTCGTGTTTGTGAGTTCTGTGTTGTTGTTGTGACTTTCTGACCTCGTGCTCCGAACTCAACATCTGTGATTAAAGAGCTTCATAACTCATCGGATTCCTCCTCCAGTATAAAGACAAGATTCTGATTCCGATTCTTTGTCTCGGTCGCTATATACACACACACATAACCAGAATCGTAACGTATTTGTTTTAAGTTTCTAAGAGGTCAAAATCGATCATATTCCTCTCTCGTTCAATCACTAAAACCTCTTCATTCTTTACCTCATTCAATCGCCAGGCTCCTGTCACGGATTGCAGGCCCAGCTGTTGCTAGGGATGCCATTGCCAGGGACCCCTGTTGCTAGGGAAGCTGTTGCTAGGGACACCGTTGCCATGGACGCCCGTTTGCTTGGGACGCCTGTTGCCAGGGACGATGTCACCACGGACGTTTGTTGCCAGGGACGCCCGTTTGCTTGGGACGCCGTTGCTAGGGACGCCCGTTGCCAGGTGATGCCCGTTGCTATGTTGACAGTTGGTCCCCGAAACCAAAGCCGAAAGTTAAAAATTTACTTTTGGCCAAGACCGAAAGGTATACATACAGATGTAATATGAGGATGCACCTGGGGGTAACTGGGCGATGGTGATAGGCTCTGCCAGCCTCAGCCCGCAGCCAATGGGGCGTCGAGCCAAGGTCCATAGCCCTGGGGCTGTATAGCAACATCTAGAAGGTTCCATGGGAGAGGCTTATGATTGGCTGCGTGGCATCACGTGAGCCAGGTGATATAAGGGGTGGAGAGAGAAACCGTTTGGGGTCAGTGTGAAGAGCCTGAAGGAGAGACTACGTCTTGGAGTCTACAAACTAAGTTGCACCTGTGGTGGGTGTTACATTGGGAAACGAAACATCATATCTCGGACCGTGTTCGCGAGCACAAGGCAGATCTGAAATACGGCAGAACTAATACCTCCGCCGTGGCTGACCATTGCTATAACGCTGTGGGCTCTCATGATATTGCTTTTCCCAAGACCAAGGTGCTCTGCAAACCTTTGGACTACTATCAAAGGTTTGTTCATGAAGCCATCCAAATGTATAAACATAGACATAATTTCAACCGAGAAGATGGATACAAATTAAGCAATCATTGGAAGGATGTTATTAACCAGGTAAAACCTTAAATACTTTATGGTTGTTCCATCATACAGGTAGTCCCCAAGTTACGATGGTCCGAGTTACGATATTTCGATCTTACGATGGCGATAACGATACGACAAAATTGTACAATATTTTATATTTCGCGCGGCAGGCAAACGCAGCAGCGTACGAGGTACGATTCTGTACTTTATCATCGCCATCCTCTTCCGACAACTAAGTTAATGAAGCCATCAACAACCTAACATCGTTCAAGAATGCAGACGACGGACAGAATCTTGGTGAGTACAGTACAATATGATACGATACAATACGTTCAATGCATGTTAAAAGTTTTTTATATAGCAGATAGGATTGTTTCCTATTAAATTGCAGTTCATATAGGTAGGCTAATAATTTACCTTGTTTTTTATACTTTACATTTTACTGTGCAATTCAGTATTGTATTTAATAAATACAGTATATAGTTTATACAGTACGCTACTGTAAATTGCTCTGTTTTGCTAAATTATCACCATTCTTTAAGACTCCTGGGTAGGCGAGGCCATCTTCGACTTACGATATTTTTGACTTACGATGGGGTCGTCGTGACGCATCTCCATCGTAAGTAGAAGACTACCTATATTTACCGGGCACTAGTCTATTTTACCGAGTGAATTGCATCCCCAGCTTCTGGCATTGCTGCATTGAGGTTGTTGGCTTCATTGGCACTTTTACGCATCCTCAGCTCTCTCAGCCTCCCACTTCCAGCTCCGCCAACTTCTCCCTTTCCAGCTTCAAGTCTCCCTCTCCTAGCGTCCACGCAACGCTCCCCTACCCCCCTCCCTTGCCCCTCCCCCCTCTTTTACCTATAACACATTCCTGCGGAGGGAGCTGGTAGGAACGTTGGGTTGCTCGGTCAATGGCCAGGGTCAACGGCCAGGGCGTGGTGTATTCCGCAAATATGCCCGACTGTGAGGGCGGGCACAAGCCGGCGTGAGTAGGTTAAACGTTGAGTTTTATAAGGGCACCACGGGGTGACCAGCCCCTCCCCACCCAGCCCCACCCCTCCCACCCCCCACCCAGCCCCTTCCTACCCTCCCTACCCAGCCCCTCTCCACCCTCCCCTCCCCACCCAGCCCCACCCTCCTCTCCACCCAGCCCCTCCCTGCACGACGGACGGACACAATAATCCCCTGTGGGCTGGTGTAACCAGGAGGTTCCTATAAGTATAACCTCTTAACCACGGTATCTCTCTCCCACTTCAGCAAACATTTTCTTGCCGTGGTTTTCCCAACTGATGATGATTGCTTGTGTTGCGATCGAAAAGTCGTGATTTAATTTATTTTGTACCTACCTGACTTTACCGAAAGAACCAAAGAGTATGGATCCCTGCAGTCACGAAAACTTCAAATCAAGATTACACAGTTACACTATACATTACTATATGCTACACTATACACTACTATACACTACACTATACACTGCACATTACTACACTATACACTACTACACACTACACTATACACTACTATACACTACACTATACACTACACTGCACCCTCAGACTCTCGCTGCAACATTTTCTCCCCCGCCGGACTTTGCGTCTTGCGCTGCATCTTGGCGTTTGCTGTGAGGCAGGGAGGAGTGGGGAAGGGTTGGAAGAGCCGTAGAGACACAGAGACAGAGAGAGACACAGATAGAGAGACACAGAGAGACAGATAGAAACACAGAGACAGAGAGACAGATAGAAAGACAGAGACACATACAGAGAGACACAGAGACAGACAGAGCAACACAGAGAGACACAGGGAGAGACAGAGACACAGAGAGAGAGACAGACAGAGAGACAGAGACACAGAGAGACAGAGACACACAGAGAGACAGAGACACAGAGACAGAAACGGAGACAGAGAGACACAGACACAGAGAGAGACAAAGGCGGAGAGGAGAGAGACAGAGGCGGAGAGGAGAGAGGCGGAGAGCTCGCGTGGTGAGCGACTCGTGGGTGTCTTTGCGTTGACGATTTTCTGAACCGGTCCCTGGGCCTCCCCTGGGTCGACTCAGCCTCAAATGAGGACCCTGGTGGAGCGGTGTAGCATAGCGGACATCGCGCGCACTGGGGGAGAGACAAAGGCGGCCGGGCGTGGTGGTTCTGGTGGCCACCCACCCCCCTCTGTGTGTGTAGCCACAGCGCCGGGAGCCTTCGTAGGTGCTGCTGCTGCTACTCGCTGCCGGCAGCACTTGTCCCTACAGCCTGTGAAGGCTACACGGGGGAGCTTTGTCTTTGTTGTGGAGGCCGCGTTGGCTGCTGGGTCACACTATACACTACACACTACACTATATACTCTATACTATACACTACTATACACGACACTATACACTACACTATACACTACACTACTATACACTACACGATACACTACTCTATACACTACACTACTATACACTACACACTACTACACGATACACTATACACTACACTATACACTACTATACACTACACGCTATACTATACACTACTATACACTACACTATACCCTGTAGTCTTCGTGGGTGTTTGCCTCTCGCGTGTGTGTGCGTGTCAACATCTTAAGTGAAAGGGGGGAGGGTCTGAGTCTCGATCGGTTTTCCCTCCCAGATGGCTTCGCACGCCAGGTCGACGTTCGTCATCAAGCGAGAAAACGACGAAGATCACCTGATGGGGCCGGGCGCGAAGGTCAAACACGAAGACGCCCACGCTGCTGGTGAGATTGCATTGCCCGTGGCTAGGAGATGTTGACTACCTCGCCTGGTACGCAGGAGGTCGTGGGTTTGACCCCGACCCTGACGATGTCTGCTGCTGTATATTTGGAGTCTGCGTCTCTCACCGTGGTGAGATGTTGACTACCTCGCCAGGTGTACAGGAGGTCGTGGGTTTGACCCCGACCCTGACAATGCCTGCTGCTGTCTATGTGGAGTCTGCGTGTTTCTCTTCCCGTGGTCGCGTGGAATTTCTTCTCCGGATCCTCTGGTTTTCCCTTCGCCTCCACGTTTAGAATCAACGTCACGAGTTGAGAGTATTTGGCCATATAAGAACATATTTTACCCTTTCTGGTAGCAATAAAACAGGAGGTATTAAGATGTTAAAACACCAAACAGAAACCTTTAGCGAGGAATCAAGTTACTGCATTAACCACACAAAGTACTTGTGGTGAACATGCAAACTAAAAAGATGCTCTGGTAGTAGATGATGATGCATTGTCTTTGAAACTGATTGGTCCACACCAGGGACAGCTTTCTTTAGAGCCTCGTCTCAAACAGTCTTAGACCAGAGGGCAACGCCAAAAGTTGGACAGCACGGGGACAATGCCACTATGAACTGTTAGCCCAGGGGTCTCCAACCCCGGGGCCGCGGGCCGGTACCGGTCCGTCGTCCCCCCCACTTTGACCCGCGACAGCCTCGTCTCGTCACCGCAAAGGTCTGTGCCAATGTCTGTGCCAATGTCTGTGCCAACGTTTGTGCCCATGCGAAAGGGCGTCGTGCTGGCCACCCACCCCCGGCTTTCACGGGTGCTCGCTAACAGCACTTGCCCCAACAGTCTGTTGAGACTATATGTGAGATCTTTATCTGTGTCTGTGCCAATGTCTGTTCCAATGTGTGTGCCAATTTGCAGGCGCAGTCGTGAAGCAGGAGGACGAGGGGAGCCTGAGCCCTGAGATCCTGAGGATCGTGGTGAAAACGGAAGTGGAGGATGATGGTGAGGCCCCCCCTTTCCCTACGACAGCTTTGAGATTGTTAAGAACCAAACTAGGGCAGGATGCCAATGCAGCGGTCCCTCGGTTTAACGATGCCACAGAGTAATGATGTTTCGTCTCGCAATCCGCCTCCCATGGGGTTTCCAATTTTTTATCAACGACGTGTTGTACGATACTAATAGGGTTTTTACCCTTTTTTCTGGCAACAAAACGGACACCTTTTGCAAGCAATCATGTTCACATTAACCATACTTGCAGTCAAATGCAAACAAAAAACAATACTCTGATCATTTATGCATTGTCCTTGAAACTGATTGGTCCACACCAGAGACAGCTTTTCTTAGAGCCTAGTCTCATATGGTGTTGGACCAGATGACGCCAAAAGGTGCACAGTTCAAAGACAACGCACTATCAGAGAAATGAGAGCTCGGGGTAAGCATCTACATCATGCATTATTTATCCATGTTTATACTAATGTAGTGCTGTACTTTACACGGGCAACTTCTTGCTTTTCTGTCGTCACTTTATTTCTACTAACGTGTGTGCAATTTCCCCCCTTGGCGCGTGTTAAACCACTACACTAATATTAATGCTTTAATATGTTTTTACAATATTTATTTGTTAAAATTGCGTGTTGACTTAAAGCTTTCGTGTTTTTAGTGTGAAAAAGGTCAACTTATTATCAAATTAAGCCTTCAACGTGCATTTGCTATGTTCGATTCACGATCATTTCGATTAACGACGGTTTTTCGTGGAACCAACGAAATATTGTTAACCGAGAGACCACTCTCATCAATTAATATGCGGAAGGGGAAACATCCCCAGCTGGCAGCTTGACTGCACGATCTTCGGGTGCGTTTCACCCCCCACTCGTCCAAAGGCCATGGTGACGCTTTTTCTGACGTTGCAGCCGCAGACGCAATCGAGAGTCCGGAGGAGACAGAGGAATCTCACGGATGTCTCTTCACCGCAGACCAGAACTTCATCGAGGTGGAGTTGTCCGAGGAGGATGTCGGTGAGCATGAGTTTCACTATATTTGGAGTTTCGTGGGTTTCTTTCTCTCTCTCTCTCTCCCCGAGGTCGCGTGGAATTTTCTCCGGCTCCTCTGGTTTTCCCTTCCACGTTTAGAAGCAACGTCACGCGTTTAGGGTAATTGGTTACTATAGATTCCCACGTGATAAGCCAATTCTGTTGAGCTGCTATCATTTGTGTGGTGGCCACGTCACTTATCTGACAAAAGAGCCACACAGCTCAGTGGGGCCTCACACCTGGTAACGTAAACATTGTTTTGTTGCCGTCTATAGACTCATTACAGAGACCCATAGAGTCATCACACAGAGACCCATAGAGTCATCACATAGATGCTGATGATCTGGTGATTGCTGCTCACTCTGATGAGGAGTTGGAGGCGCTGCTGCTGAACCTGGAGCATGCTACTAAGTGGTGGGGCCTTATCATCAGCCCCTCCAAAACTAAGCACCTGCTTGGGTATTTTGTGCCATCACTCCACCCCTTCAACTCCCCATTGGTGTTGTGGCAGTTGTGGAAAGCGTGGAGAGGTTTCCATACTTGAGCAGTGTGCTTATGACCAGCTCTGGTTTGACAGCAGAGGTCTCACTCCAAATCAGTCGAGCTGCATTATCTTCTCATCGGCTGTATAACGCTGTGTGGAAGCTACCTGGTCTGTTGCTCCACAAGAAGCTTCGGGTCTTCTCGGCCACAGTCATACGCTTCCTTCTCTATTCTTGGAACATCTTCACCGGTTCGAAACATCCAGGCTGGCCTGCCTATGATCCATCCTGGGTTTAACCAGGCTGAATTATGTGAGGAGCTCACAAATCCTTGAAAGATCTGGACAAAGTCCCATCAGTGAGCTTCTCCGGCAGGCAAGGCTGCGTTGGCTGGGTCATGCCGCCCGCTTGCCCAACCACTGCATGCCTAAATAGCTTTTGTTCGGCTGGCTAGTGGGGGCTCAACAGGCATGGCATGGGCTAGAGAAGAGATGGAGTAATGTAGTGCAAGAGGATATGGAGCTGAGTGGACTTGCCAATAACTGGAACCAACGGTGTCAAGATTGGCCTCTGTGGAGGAGGCTCGTGAAGGACGCTACTGGGCAGTTGGAGGCAGTCGCCCTCCAACAACAACGGAGGGCGGTTGGAGCGACGCTCACAACAACGAGCGGAACGCCGGGTGGCTAAAGCACAGCAAGTTGGCACAGTAGGGGGCGCAGGTGGTGCATCGGCCATTCATCTCAGTCGACCCGTGGCACCTGGGTCTGCCCCGTGACCTCCTGCCAGCGGGCGTTCAACACTTCACATAGCCTCAAAGCGCACATAGTCTGGCACAAGCGTCGTGGTGACGTCACCGCCACTTAGTGGCAAATGGCGGTTGTTGTTGCGTGGAATTTTTGGGAGCAGTGGTGTAGTGGTTAGCGCTACGCTGCGCTACAAACCCGGCGACCCGAGTTCGATTCCCACTCACGGCCACCAACACCGGTGACGGCGATTATCTGAACCGGTCCCGGGCCTCCTGTACGTCAAAGAAAAGAGAAGCTGATGAGCTAAAGCCTTAACGGCGCTGCCGTTTCCTGAACTCCGAGCCTCGTTTTTCTTCGTGTCCTTTAACCTCGAACTTTTGCCTTTGGTGAAAATGTGTGGCGGACGATGCGACAGGAACGGAACTCCTGTGCGAGGAGTGCGAGGCGGGCGGACGACACTTGGGGACGGGGGCGGACGACGCCGGACGCGCGGCCGCCACGCCGGGAGCCTCCTGCGCGCGGTGCGGCAAGCCGCTGGAAGTCGCGGCGCCTTCGTGCGCGGCGGTCACCGGCGACCGGCGGAGGCACACATGCGACGATTGCGGGAAGGAGTTTGCGCAGCGTTCTCACTTAGAGGAGCACACTAGGACGCACACGGGCGAGAAGCCGCACGTGTGCACGGAGTGCGGGAAGGGCTTCGTGACGCGTTACAACTTGGAGACGCATTTCATATCGCACACGGGGAAGTGGCCGCACGTGTGCAAGGAGTGCGGCAAGGGCTACGCGCAACGCTACTCCTTGGAGGAGCACCTGAGGACGCACACCGGCGAGAAGCCGCACGTGTGCACGGAGTGCGGCAAGGGATTCACGCGCTCGTCCGACCTCAAGATCCACTTCAGGATTCACACGGGCGAGAAGCCGCACGTTTGCGCCGAGTGCGGCAAGGGCTTCGTGCAAAGCTCCCACCTGGAGGCGCACGTCGGGAAGCACGCGAGCGAGAAGCCATACGCGTGCGACGAGTGCGGCAAGGGATTCACGCGCTCGTCCGACCTGAAGATCCACCGCAGGACCCACACGGGCGAGTGGCCCCACGCGTGCGACGAGTGCGGCAAGGGCTTCGCGAGGTCGTCCGACCTGAAGATCCACCGCAGGACGCACACGGGCGAGAAGCCGCACGTGTGCGCCGAGTGTGGCCGGGGCTTCGCGCTCTCCTCCCACCTGGAGAGGCACACTAGGACCCACACAGGCGAGAGGCCGCACGTTTGCAAGGAGTGCGGCAAGGCGTTCGCGCAACGCTCCTCCCTGGAGGCGCACACGAGAACGCACACGGGCGAAAGGCCGTACGCGTGCGAGCGGTGCGGCAAGGCCTTCGCCCTCCGCGCCACCCTGAACGCGCACGCGAGGACCCACACGGGCGAAAGGCCGCACGTTTGCAAGGAGTGCGGAAAGGCGTTTTCGCAGAGCTCCTCCCTGGAGGCGCACACCAGGACGCACACGGGCGAAAGGCCGTACGCTTGCGAGCAGTGCGGCAGGGCCTTCGCCCTCCGCGCCACCCTGAACGCGCACGCGAGGACCCACACGGGCGAGTGGCCGCACGTTTGCAAGGAGTGCGGCCGGGGCTTCGCGCAGCGCTCGGATCTGGAGAAGCACCGGAGGACGCACAGCGGCGAGAAGCCGTACGTGTGCAAGGAGTGCGGCAGGGGCTTCGGGCAGAGTTCCACGCTGACGGCGCACGTGAGGACGCACACGGGCGAGAAGCCGCACGTTTGCAAGGAGTGCGGCGAGGGGTTTGCGCAGAGCGGTCATCTGAAGAGGCACTCAAAGACGCACGCGCTCGAGTGAAAACCTCGCATGTCCCGAATGGGTTTTTTTTTTTGCCTCCCATTTGAAAACCAGTGGGTAATTATTTTGTTGCTTACCGTATGTCCAAGATTTTTATTAACACTTATATGGAAAAAAGAACAGATAATGCACCATAACATGCTAACAAATACTCTTTGGTTCTTCGGTAAAGTCACGTGGGTAGAAAAAATAAAAGATCACGACGTTTCGATCGCAACACAAGCAATCGTCATCAGGTAGAAAGATACAGCAGTAGAACTACTGAACAAGAAAGGGCTGTTGCAACAAGAGGTTATATCCAGGTTTGAGGTGGGTGTCACCCAAGGGTACACCCACGCTATTTTACCGAAAGAACCAAACAGTTTTAAAAAGTCAAAGAGTCTCACACTTGTTCGCCATCGTTGTCAACGCACGCCTGGAATCTTCTCCAGGTGGTCTCCAGAGCCCAGAGGGGCACATTTCTTGTGTTATTACAAATTCTCAGAAGTGTCAACGTTTTTTGAAAGCACCCTGTATATACTTATTTTGTTTCACCGCAAACTCTTAAACTGTACAGTTTAACACCTTAGCAGTAGTAGTAGGCGTTCGCGACCAATATTATCCATATTATAGGGGTTTTTTTTGGGTTAGATCGCGTAAATTTTAATGCTGTCGTTCAACTCGCCGTCACCACCCGACACTGCCAATTAGTTTGTCACGTAAACAAAACGTGGCAATTCGAGTACAGCACCAACTGGTTGTGTGTCGTAGAGTAAACCCACTACGACGTTTAAAATTCGAGTACCGTGACATCCAGCCTCGTCAGGGGACAGGCAGAGTTGTGGAGAAATCCTGCTCCTGTTTCGGGTTTTAAGTAAACGATACATTTTCAGAATTTAACGAATCACCTCCACGAGCGGATAGATACTCTGGAGAGCAGACCAACCGAGGTCACTCACACCTAATGCACTCGCCGATGGATCGGTGAACCCAGTGCCCACGTGACCGCAACGCTTGCCAAGGTAAACCGATTGCGTTTGTAAAGGATAAAAAAAAAAACAATGGATGACCACTTCAGCATCTTCACCTCTAATAATAGGGGCTTCCCCCTTTTTTCTGGCAACAAAACTGAAAACTTTTTACAAGGATTCATGTCTGCATTAACCACAATACTTGCAGTCAAAATTCAAACAAAAAACATACTATGATAATATATGTATTGTCCTTGAAACTGATTGGTCCACACCAAGGGACGGCTTTCTTTTAAAAGGTACGCCTTTTGGCGTCCTCTGGTCGAGCACCAATTGGGTCGAGGCTCAAAAGAAAGCCGTCTCTTGGTGTGGACCAATCAGTTTCAAGGACAATTTATATATTATCATAGGATGTTTTTTTTTTTTGCATTTTGACTACAAGTATTGTGGTTAATGCAGACGTGAATCCTCATAAAAAGGTTTCAGTTTTGTTGTTTCGGATGTATATACTTTTGTTCCGTCTGGATGATCCCTTCGTTTTCATTCTTAGTCAGGCCTCGTTCACTCATTCCGCCCCCTCGTTCAGCGACTCATCCCATCCATTCGCCCAATGCCCTTGCTCACTCTTCCCTCCATTGACACGCTCGCACGTTCTTTTCCATTTGTGCAACTTGCCGTTTTTTGGTTGAACGGCAGCGGACAAACTCGCGATTTTTGCAACGTGCGCGGACGCGCCTCGGGATTGTGGGTGGTTGAATTTCGAACGTAGCGACCGATGGGGTACAGTCGTGAACCCAGGCGACAGAGGGATAGATGGTGTGGATGTGGGGGAGAGTGAGAGTGAGCTTGACAAATACATAAAAGCTCCAGATTTTCCGCCGCGTTAATGACGGGGAGGACGGTCGCGGATAATTCAACATCGTGGATAATCCAACAAATATCGCATTTTCCGCGAATCTCCATGCCAAAAACCACTCGTATAGGTATACATTTTGTTTAAGTTAAGAAAATGTAGTTAATGAAAAAAACATTAGTGGTCAATCAAACTTAGCCCCACTGAGTGGATGGCAGCAGAGCCACAGCCAATCAGCATCATTCAAACTCCGCCCACTGTTGTCAAGTTATGGCAACTACTGTACTGTAGTGGCGATCGCGTTGAATTCAGATTAACTGGTTTAAGCACCGTGTGACTTATAATGAACATTCCCAACAATGTACAACTATTTTTAGACTATTAATTTGGGCTTAAGGGAAAATCACCGAGTTATTGATTTATGTCAAAATCTCGGGCGCGCGGGTTAATCCGCAAATCGGATAAACTGCACAAGTGGATAATCGAGAATCCGCCATATTGCCAGTTCTGAACAACGACAACAGGAGGACTGGAGCAGGGGGCTGGTGGAGGGGGTTAGGGGGGATAAAAGGGGGTCTCTGCGGGTAGGGAGAGGCACGGGCGTGAGACAAGAAGCGAACACGACAGGGGATGGAGAGAGAGGGGGGAGAGGGCATCCAATGGTCCCGCGTGTGTGTGTGTAGTGTGGAGGAGGCTCGTGAAGGATGCCCTCTCCCCCCTCTCTCTCTACAACAACGAGCAGAGCACCTGGCGGCTAAAATGCAGCAAGTTAGCACCGTAGGGGGTACAGCTGGTGGTGCATCTACCAGTAGTGATCTCAGTCAGCCAACCAATGGCACCTGCTGGGTCTGTCCCGTGACCTCTTGCAAATAACCTGGCACAGTCGGGGGTACAGCTGATTTATTTTGCCTATAACTTGTGAAAAAGTGAAATAAAACACGAACTCTAAATGCTAAAACTTTCTTTAATTCGATATGACGCGTGAACACCCCAGAACCTGCAAATGTTGTTTTGTTGAGGTGAAAATGACCTTCTTCTGACATCATTAAATTTGTTGACTAATATCAGCTGTCTTGGTCTGCAAGTTCAATGAAAGCATCGCGAGCTTTGGTGGCCTCTGGGCTGCAATTCTTGCACCGGCTGAATCTTCCGCGGAAAAAAAAAGAGTCTCTTTACCCACGATCAGCGTAGTGTATACTAATGTATAGTGTAGTGTATAGTGTAGTGTATAGTAGTGTATATTGTAGTATGTAGCGTATGGTATAGTGTGTGTATGTTGACGTTTTTTCACACCCTACGTAGCCAACAACACTAAACACAACAAGCAGCAGCTCGAGGGACGTGAGTTTTCAATCAAGATTTAATCAACAACCCCGATAATCCCGATAATGGATAGTCGATGGTTAACTTTGAGAGGCCAGAGGGTGAACCGTTACATTGTGAATCTGTGTGGTTAAGTGGCCCCGTGGTGCCTAGGAGATGTTGACTACCTCGCCTGGTATGTAGGAGGTCGTGGGTTCGATCCCGGACCCTGACGATGCCTGCTGCTGTATGTTTGCATGTTTCTATCTCTCATCATCATCACGGTGGCTAGGAATGTTAACTACCCCGCCTGGGATCCAGGTGGTCATGGTTTCAATCACGACCCTGATACCTGCTGTTTATTTGGGCTTTGCATCTCTCACTGTCATCATCACAGTGGCTAGGAGATGTTAACTACCTCGCCTGGTGTGCGTTTAGAATATTTGGCTGCTGCTATAAATGTCCACGTGATAAGCCACTTGTTTGAGCTGCTATCATTTGTGATGGGCAGGTCACTTCTGAACAAGAGCTACTACACAGCAACTAAGTGGCTGTTTACCTGGTCGTCCATAGACTGATCACACAGAGACCCATAGCCTCATCACATAGAGACCCACAGACTTATTACACAGAGACCCATAGACTCATTACAGAGACCCATAAAAAATTTCGGTATTCGGGTGCTGCTATAAAAGAGCTACAAGACTCAGTGGGCCTTACCTGGTAAAATAAAATATAGTTTAATATTAGTATGGGTCTCTATGAATCTCTGTGAGTCTCAATGAGCATGGGTCTCTGTGGGTCTCTTGAGTGTGAATCTGTCTGGGTCTTTGTGGGTATCTATGAGTCTCTAGAAACACACACTTAGCTAATTTGGCTGCTGCTATGAATTTCCTCGCGACGATGACGATATAAGCCACTTGGTTGAGTATTCTTTGGGACTTTCGGTAAAGTCACGTAGATAGGTTCAAAGAAAATAACAAAAAAAGCCGACGTTTCGATCGCAACACAAGCGGTCGTCATCAGGAAGAGGTCGAGCTGCTGTCATTTGCGATGGCCATGTTACCGCTACGTAGCAGCCCAATGCTTATAGCTGATCAAATAAAAAAAGAGTTTCTCTTTAGTTGACATGGTGGGGGCCGATAGCGTTGCAGGAGCATGGCGACATTTGCCGTCGCTACTGACACCCCCCCCCCCCGCCCGCCTCTCGAGGCCTTCGTCACTGCGGCGTGTACGTCCTGGAGTGCCTCCTGAAGTGCCTCTTGAGGTGGCCGTTCTGTGCGAAGCCCCTGCCGCACCGGCTGCAGACGTACGGCTTCTCGCCCGTGTGCGTCCGCGAGTGCGTCCGCAGGTTGTAGCGCGTCGCGAACGCTTTGCCGCACTCGCCGCACGCGTGCGGCCTCTCGCCCGTGTGCGTCCTCGAGTGCTTCTCCAGGTCGGAGGGCCGCGCGAACACTTTGCCGCACCTGCCGCAAGCGTGCGGCCTCTTCCTGCCGCCACCGGGGGGCGCCGCCCCCGCGCTCCCTCCGAGTCCGCTCCCCGTCCGATTGGCGGCGGTGGGCGGCGGCCTCCCGTGCCGCCCACTGGGGGATCGTCCGGCATCGTGCGCCCCCGTCGCGCTCCCGCACCACCCCTCCCATAGGGGCTCTCTTCCTGTCGTTGCGTCCGACGCAATGTTCGGAGCAAAAAGAAAAAGGGGGGGGGGGTGGGGCGGGGCTTCAATTTGGACCGCGGTCGACAGCGGGGGCAAGCTCAGCACCTCCTATTAGCGTGGTTGGCTAGCAGAGTGGTGTAGTGTATAGTGAAGTATGTAGTGTAGTGAATAGTGTAAAGTAGTATATAGTATATTAGTATATAGTGTATCGTAGTATATAGTGTAGTGTATATATATAGTAGTATATAGTGTTGTGTATAGTAGTGTATAGTGGAGTACATCATGCATAGTGTCGTACATATGTATGTTGAACTTGAGGTAGTTAACATCTCCATAGCCACCGCTTCACCTGGCCTCAGCATTGTGAATAGCTCCTCAGCAACTGGCAACGTTGGCCCGGACGGTGGCCACTTCCTCCAGCACGCTGCCACGTCCGGGACGTATACGACCGGCCATGGAAAAGGAACCCACGGGGAAGACCAAGTAAGACGCTCACCCTCGTTACGCTCCTCCTCGTCGTCCTCCGACACCTCCACCTCGATGAAGTTCCGGTCTGCGGTGAAGTGACCTCCGCCAGATTCGTCCGCCTCAGCCGGCCTCCAGGGGGCCTCTCGTGGCTCCGGACGCAGCGCTGCGGTGCGGGAGACACAACGACGGGAAGCGAGGTCGACAGGCGAGCCGGAGGACGTTCACGCGAGTGCGGAGATCCGCTCGTGGTTTGGTTGCGAGACCCTGGCTCAGTACGAAAGAAAATGTCGGTGTTGTAGCCTCTCAGGCAGTAAAAAGATGTTCAAACGCCAAACAGAAACCTTTGGCAAGAAATCGGGTCACTGCATTGACCACACACGCAGTGCTTGTGGTGAACATGCAAACTAACATGGCTCTGACAGTATTTTAACCTTATAGCGGTACCCTGGGGTACCATAGTACCCCGGCTCTCGCATAATGTCCGTGATGGGACCTTTTTGCCAGTATCAAGGTATGAAAACGTAAGAATAGGTGTTTAACATGCAGGCTTTTGCAACCAATATCATCCATGATACAGGCTTTTTGGGTTAGATCATGTAAACAGATAAATGTGTCGTTAAACCCGCCACCACCCGGCACAGATAATTGGTAATGTTTGTCACGTAAACAGAACATGCCAATTCGTTACTAGTACAGCACTAGTGTATAGTATATAGCAGTGTAGTGTATAGTGTAGTGTGTAGTGTAGTGTATAGTGTAGTGTGTAGTGTAGTGTATAGTGTAGTATATAGTGTTGTATATAGTAGTGGTGTATAGTGTAGTATACTAGTAGTGGTGTGTTGAACCCTTTCTGGCAGTAATGAAACGGGCTGTGTGAAGATCTTCAAGGGTTTCCATTTTGTCGTTTGAACACCCGAACACGACTCCTGTTGTATTACTCGCAGAATGGGTAACAACACCCCCCATTCTTATTTTGTCACACTTGGAATACTGGCAAACAAGGGGGGGGGTCTCATTTAGACCCTCGCTCAGTCTGTCAGTAGGAATGAGGGGGATCTCTCTCTCTCTCGCTCTCTCTTTACCGTCATCGCCCACTTCGGTTTTCACCACGATCCTCAGGAACTCGGGGCTCCATCTCCCTTCGTACTCCCGCTTCACCACTGCCCCCGCCGCCTCCTCCTCCTCCTCCGTCACCATCACTGCATGCGAACGCTCACACAGCCGGGCATCTCTTAAAGGGCTATACGGGGGGAGGACGGTTCTAAGCGGAAAGGGATCTTAGAAACGGTTTTCCCCTTTTTTCTGGCAACAAAACAGTCGTGTTAAGATGTTAAAACACCAAGCCGAAACCTTTCACGAGGAATCATGTCTGCATTAACCACAGATACTTGTGGTCAGAATGCAAACAAAAAACGTACTAGATTTGAAGCTTTCGTGACTGCAGGAATTACTCTTTGGTTCTTTCGGTAAAGTCACGTAGAAAATCAAATCCAATCAAATAATAGAATACGACGTTTCGGTTGCAACACAAGCAACCATCGTCAGGTAAGAATGAATGACAAAACACAGACACGGGAACAACATAGGCAGACACACATGCAGAGAGAGACACGCACAAAGACAGAGCGAGACACACACCAAGACAAACAGAAGGACAACGAATCCGTGCCGAGGCCTTAAATAGAGAGAGGGGGAGTGGGCCGGGGCAGAGAGAGGACTGGGGATGCGGGACCAGCTGACAGACGAGGGGACAAGGAGGGAGCAGCGTGGAATTCTGGACCACAGTGGCCGGAGGAGAGACAATGGTTTAGAGCAAGAAAATCCAAAGTTTGAGAAGGCAAATTTAGTAAAATTAAGAAGTGTAATGCAATGCAACACAGAGGGTTGGTTAACACACAGTTAACGCAGAGCCTGGTTGATTAACGTTCTCCCAACGATTGCTAAATTAGAAGTAAAGTATGAGTTGTGAGTAAACCCTCCCCGTAGAGGTGGTTCAAACTAGATTCGAGGCTTTCGTGACTGCAGGAATTACTCTTCGGTTTTTTTCCGGTAAAGTCACGTCGAAAATAAAATCAAATAATAACTCACAACTCACACTTCTAATTTAGGAGCTCAGTGCGCCTGGCAACGTGAAAATCAGGTGAGCTCACCTTCATCAAAGTCCTCCGTCCACACCTCCATGTCGATGAACTTGCGGCCTGGAGCGGCGAGAAACGCGAAGGCATCCGCGGGCTCCTCCGACCCCTCGTCGCCGGCTCCCGGTCCCCGCCCTCCTGGAAGCCGCGGTTCCAAGAAAAAGTCACCGCACGTCTCTGTAAACGGGCGGGAGTTGAACTTACGAGCGACGGTGAGGCAGTCAGTCAGTCGGTCAGTCGGCTCCAGCGAGAGATATCCCCCCACCCCCGAAAGAGACAGGCGCCATGTTGGCTAGGAGATGTTAAATGCCTCACCTGGTATACAGGAGGTCGTGGGTTTAATCTAGATCCTGACACCTGCTGTACATTTGGAGCTTGCGTCTTTCTATCGTCAACATCATGGTGGCTAGATGTTAACTGCCTCACCTGGTATACAGGAGGTTGTGGGTTCGATCTCGATCCTGACGCCTACTGTACATTTGGAGTTTGCGTCTCTCTCTCTTGTCAACATCAGGATCGAGATTGAACCCACCCCCTCCTGCGTACCAGGCGAAGTCGTTAACATCTCCTAGCCACCGTGATGATGAGAGAGACGCAAACTCCAAATATAGAGATGTCAGGGTTGGTATCGAACCCACGACCTGCTGTATACCAGGCGAGGTAGTTATCATATCCGAGCCATCGTGATGATGATGATGAGAGAGAGAAAGACGCAAACTCCAAATATACAGCAGATGTCAGGGTCGGGATAGAACCCACGCCATCCTGTATCCAGGCGAGGTAGTCAACATTTACCAGCCACCGTGGTAATGATAAGAGACACAAACTCCAAATATACAGCAGTAGGCATCGTCAAGATCGGGATAGAACCCACGCCATCCTGTATACCAGGCGAGGTAGTGAACATCTCCCAGCCACCGTAGTCTCCCACGTGCGTGGCGGTGGCCGTCCATGCAATTGCTCTCCAGGCTCATTCCCCGTCGAGAGTCAGTGGCCTGGCTTGGGTGAGGGGGGCCCCATTCCCGGTGGTCTGGTCGTAGTGCCAACGTGACCTCACCGAGGGCGATAATTAGTTTTTTACCCTTCTATCTGGCAACAAAACTGACACTTTTTTTTACAAGGAGTCATGTTTACATAGACCACAATACCTGCAGTCATAATGCAAACAAAAAACATAACTCTGATAATGGTGTAAATGCTTCACCGAAGGCGTCGGCGTCCTCGTGTTTCACCATCGAGGCCGGTCCCGTCCAGAGGCTCGGATTCTCTTCGTTCTCTCGTTTGACGACGAACGGCGACTGGGCGTGCAAGGCCATCTGAGAGGGGGTGAAACCGATCGAGATTCAAGGCCTCTCCCCCCTTCCACTTAGAGGTCGATATACAGGGTGCTTTAAAAAAATGTTAATGCTTACAATGGGACTATCGTTTACAATGGGACTATCGTTTTTAATGGGAAAAAAACGGATAACATTGTAACATGATAACAAACGTAACGTTAATAGCTTCAAAATGTCTCCTGCTTGTTCACCACCATTGTCAACGCATGCCTCGAATCTTCTCCAGGTAGTTCTCCACAGCCCAGAGGAGGCATATTTATTGTGGTATTGTTGCAAATTCACAGAGGTATTAACATTTTTTGAAGCACCCTGTATAACAAAGATAAAGATAGCCCAGCCCCATATATAGCTTTGAACAGACTTTTGGGGCAAGTGCTGTAAGCGAGCAATACCTATGAAGGCCGGCACGGCGCATGAGGGGGTGGGTGGCTAGCACCACGCCCGGCCGCCTTTGTCTCCCCACTACACACCGCACCAGGTACGCGTTTGAGGCCGAGTCGACCTAGGGGAGACCCATATCCTCTTGTACCACATTACTCCATCTCTTCTTTAGCCCGTGCCGTACCCATTTAGCCCCCTCTATCCGGCCAAACAAAAGCTGTTCAGGCATGCGGTAGCTGGGCATGTGGGCTACATGACCCTGCCAATGCAGCATTGCCTGTCGGAGGAGCGACAGATCAGGTAGCTTCCACGCAGCGTGATACAGCCGATGAAAAGATAATGCCGCTCGACTGATTCAGATTGAGACCTCTGCTGTCAAACTGGAGCCAGTCATGAGCACACTGCCTAGGTATGGGAAACGCTCCACTCTCTCCACAACTGCCCCATCACCAATTGAGAGTTGTGGGGGTGGAGTGTCCAACGGTACAAACTACCCAGGCAGGTGCTTAGTTTTGGTGGGGCTGATGGTAAAGCTCCAGGTTCAACAGCAGCGCCTCCAACTCCTCCTCTGAGTGAGCAGCAATTACCAGATCATCGGCATACATAACGTGTTGACCAATAGGGAGCCATCCCTTGATAGCATACGGGCATCGATCAGCCTCCCATTGTATCTGTTCCAGATGGAGATTCCTCCGGTACAGTCATCGAAGGGGTCACGAACTACGTGGTCGAAATAGAAGTTAAATAATGTGGGAGCCCGAGGACATCCTTGTCGCACCCCAAGGTGTACAGGGAATGGCTCTGAATCCCAGCCACGTAGTTTCACTCGGGCCCGCTCACCATCATGAAGGTCCTTAATGATCGTGAACAGTGGGTTAGGGACTCCGAAAGCACAAACAACAACCCAGAGCCCAGGCCTACTGATGGTATCATAGGCCTTGACCAGGTCAATAAAGCAGAGATGTAGGTCTTGTTGGAATTCCCTACACCTCTGCTGTAGCAGACGGACAGAAAATACGGCATCTGTGCAGGACCGCCCTTTCCTGAAACCGCATTGGGCTCCGCAAGCCTCTCCTCAGCGTGCCGAGCAAGGCGATGTTGAATAATCCTTGCCAGGACCTTTCCCAGCACACTATGCCGGGAAAGGTACACAGAGACACACACAGATACACACACATACAGATACACACAGACACACACACAGATACACACACAGACACATACACAGATACACACAGACACACACACAGATACACACAGACACACACAGCCACACAGAAACAAAGATCCCCCTGTGTAGCCTGAACAGAATGTGCGGGCAAGTGCTGTTAGCGAGCACCTATGAAGGCCGGCATGGCACACGAGGGGGTGGGTGGCCAGCACCACGCCCGACCGCCTTTGTTTCCCCAGTGGCGATGTTGACTACACACCGCACCAGGTACTCATTTGAGGCTGAGTCGACCTAGGGGAGGCCCAGGAACGGTTCAGATAATCGTCACTGCTGTTGGCCTTGAGCGGGAATCAAACTCGGGTCGCCAGGTTCATAGCGCAGCGTAGCGCTAACCACTACACTACCGCTCCCCACCAGAGACACACACAAACAGACATACATACACACAGACATACACACACAGACAGACATACACAGACACACATATACACACCGACACACAGACATACATATACACAGACATACATTCACTGCAACACAGACGGACACACTCGCACAGACACACAGACAGACACACACACAGAGACAGACACACAGACAGACACTCACACACACAGAGACAGACACTCACACACACACAGACACACACTCATACAGACACACACAGACAAAGACATACACACACCTCACACACAGACACTCACACACATAGACTCACACAAACAGACACTCACACAGACACTCACACACACAGACAGTCACACACAGACATACACACAGACACCCATACAGACAGACAATCACACAGACACACACAGACACTCACACACACAGACACACACAGACACCTCACCCTGTGCGACGAAGGCGAACAGGGCGACAAGATGCAACGCACACGAGGGGCGGGCGACGGCGAGGGGCGGGCGACGGCAAGACGCGGCCGGAGCGGCGGCGAGATGCAGGACAAGACGCAGCCAGCGACGTCTCGAACTCACCGCAGGGGCAAGTGCAGTGGGTGGCGAGTAGCAGCAGAGACAAAGCTCCCCTAGGTAGCCTCTAGCAGGATGTAGTAGTAGTATACTATAGTAGTGTAGTAGAATACTTGACTTAAAGCTTCTGTGTTGTAATCGAAACGTCGTAGTTTTTTTGTTATTTTCTTTGAATCTCTCTACGTGGCTTTACCGAAAATCCCCAAGAATAGTAGTATACTATTGTCGTGTGATGGGACGTTGTAGGATGAACGTTGAGACTTATAAGGGACACGGGGTGACCAGCAAGCTCTGAATCGATCTGTACCAAGGTAGGGCACTGATCAGGGGTTGGCAGGGCACGGGATGTCGATTTAAAAAAATAGGCGACGGCTCAGTTTCGAGATGCCCATCTTGACTTGTATCACACTGGGATTTTTGCACACAGCGTTATATAATACGGTGGTGTTTTACAGGTCGGAACAACAGGTTCCACACTGCCCACCAGGGATTATGTGTCTGTCTGTCGTGCATAAATATATATATTATATAAACAGCTCTCTGATTGGTGGAGACCAACTGCCGGGTACGGAGAGGGGAGGGGCCTCTAAGGGAGGAGGGTCATGGGAGGGGCCTGAGGGGGGGGGGGGGTCAGGGGAGGGGCCTAAGGATATGGGGGGTGGTCAGGGGAGGGGCCTAAGGATATGGGGGGGGTCAGGGGAGGGGCCTACGGATATGGGGGGGTGGTCAGGGGAGGGGCCTGAGGGAGGGGGGGGGTCAGGGGAGGGGCCTAAGGGAGGGGAGAGTAAGGGGAGGTGCCTAAGCAAGGGGGGGGGGGGGGGCGATAGTGAAGGGGGCTCGGCTGCCTGGCTACCTCAAGTCATCTTCTACACAGGTAGCAACAACAGGTTCCACACTGCCCACCAGGGATTATTTGTCTGTCGTGCACGAAAGCGCTGTCCAACCAAGTTCCTACCTGCCCACTCCCAAGGAACGTGTTAAGGAATACGTCGCGGTAACGTATTACATCGCCAATACATGTCGGTGCTGAATCTGGGCTAAGGTGTCGGGGGGGGGGGGGGGGTCTCCGGGGATTTGTGGGGTTACCCACAAAGCCGTGAAAAAAAAAATCTGAATATTACGGATTGCATCTTGAAAGTGAGAACCCCCCCCCCCAACATACAATTTAGCTAGGGGCTCGTAAAATGAATCCAAACACCACGCTCAGTTTGACACAGCCATTCTTTTAATAGACACCTGCCAATTTGACAACTTCGACCGACGGTTGCAAATGTCGCCCTCGAGGCCGACTCGACGGCAGTGTTAGGTACGGGACGCCCTCGACTGACAAACGTTCGTAAGTCGGGCGTCCGTAAGTCGGGGCATTCGTAAGCCCGGGTGTTCGTAAGTTGGGGCGTTCGTAAGTTGGGGCGTTTATAAGCCCGGATGTTCGTAAGTTGGGGCGTTCGTAAGTCGGGGCATTCGTAAGTCGAGCATTGCATGTACTGCACCACACACGAAGCTTATATTGAGGCTATTCAGTGAGGATTTACTTAACGAAACGCTACAATGCACTAGAAAACATTTACGGTCACACTATCAACGCGAGTTACCACACGATAGCACGGCAATACAAATAACCCCCGTCCCCCCTCCTTTTTTACAATCTAAAATAATTGTATATTCATAGATATATAGAGAGATCGACTTCACTCAAGGCGCTTGACATAGTTGAAAAAGAAAAGAGCGACACAGAATGTGACCATTTTGATTGGCAGGGAGCATGCAAGGGGGTTGAGGAATTTGTGGTACCGGGATAGAGGGGTAATTAGGGGATGATGAAACGGTAGGGTAGGGGAAGTAGCCGCAATAGAGGGTACGTAATCGGGATCGATATTAGGAAGCCGCTGGAGCTATAAGTTATACATTATCGAGATTGAAAACTCATTTCTTTAGAACTGCCTGTTGTGTTTAGTTTGATGTCCTTCTCCCCGCCCCTCCGATTAGCACGGTTGGCTACGTACGATGCGAAAGAATATTCTTTAGTTCTTTCGGTAAAGTCACGTAGAATAGAAATAATAAAATAACAAATTACCATGACGTTTCGATTGCAACACAAGCGGTCATCATCAGGAAAAGGGGGGTTAGCCTCTAAAGACAAACTGCTTATAAAGGTCTGAAATGAGCGTAGCCCAAGTGTCAGCAGCATGGGCGGGGCAGCTGATGTTAATGTAAGTGGTGGGCGATGGCTGCCGTTGGTGGTGGGTTTCCACCAATTAAACGGCTGCCAGGTAATGGTTTAACATGGGAATGGTGGTACAGGTGGTGGGCTTCCACCAATAAAGGGCTACTGCTAGTGGTGATGATAGTCGTGGGTAGCGACGGTCCTGGTGGTGGGCTTTCACCAATTAAAGGGCTGCCAGGTCTAAAATGGAAACATTACAGCCAGTTATGATTCGAACTGGCTGATAACGATGCAAAAGAAGTTCAACATAGATACATACAGGATGCCACTGGAGCTATGCACTTGTAAATAATCTCGATTGAAAATTCATTTCTGAAGAACTGCCTGTTGTGTTTAGTTTGACGTCCCCCCCCCGCCCGCACCTCCCATTCGCGCGGTTGGCTACGTACGGTGCGAAGAGGTTCAACATATACACGCGTACATATGAAGGAGTATGGGGGAGGTGACTACGATGGAGGGGACTTATGGGTCACAAAGGGGTAGGGGGGGAGACGGGAAGGGGTGGAGGGGGCGAGGGAAGAGGACGGGCGATCTGGAAGTGGGCGAGCTGATCAAGCAGCATCGACCGGCGCGGCAAAGTACGGTCAAGCAAATCCCCGTGACTGACAGAGCAGGGGAAGCTTTCGTCATCGACTCGACTGTTGTAATCACACGTAACGACAAAGCATCCCCTTGTTAAAAATATCTATCTATCTAAGACGCGGTTATGAAATGCTACTCTTTAACGCTCACAATAGTAGTAGTACTAGTACATGCGTCAGAGAAATGCTTTGGAGAAAATTAACTTTGAAATTCACGTCATAGCATTCTGACGACGACACGGACCTCAGCGACGTTCATCGTTGTTAAGGGCAAGACAACAAACTCCGATTCGGGTGTTAGAATCCCGATCGCAAACCACGACGATGGTGGACTGCGTAGAATAGGAATTCGGTTTGCAGGCTTCTACCGTTTTTGAAAG